AAAAAAAAAATTTCAACCCTCACCCAAGGATATGTTTTTGGTGATTTTTTAAACTTTATTAATTTATTGCAGAAAACTATTCCTTAATTTTATTTGAAAAGTACACAAGGTCACAAAGCTAGAGCAAGTTCTTACTTTTTTAACCAAATTTGTTCTTACAAATTTCAAAATCTGCACCATTAGATATTTAAGCCAGGCATTTTAAATACAAAAATCATCTTTGAAACTGACACTATCAGTTCTCTACTTACATATGTGAAGTGTCAAAATATTTTTTCTCACTAGTACAAGTTTATTTATTACAAATGTTGGCAATTAGGGGTGAGAATAAGTGAATCAGTGAATTGTGGTTCTTTTGACACTTGCATCATTAAATAAGTTAGTAGGAAATGAGTATTTCTTCCTTGACTGAAGCCAATCCCAACAGATATTTTCCACAGTCAAATTACAAAACAGGGTACTTTTTTTCCCCCACTTGATTTTTAGAGTGTGAGAAACTGATCAGTTGCCTCCCACATGTGACTTGACTGGGGATCAAACCCACAACCTTTTGGTGTATGGGAGAACACCAAACCAACCGAGCCACTCAGCAAGGGCCAAAATACTTGTTAATATATCCCTTTTAGTTCAGGAGAGAACGTGTTTATTGGAGGAAGACTGTGCCTTGTTGACCTATTCCACTTGATGGAGATTCAACTTGAGCTCTGTAGTTGCAGTGAGAACATAGCTCCATCCCTCCTCAAAGTGCGAGGGTAGGGGAAGGCACCTGCCTTGTTGCTCATAAGGGCATCACAGTGCCCAGGCACAAGAGCACTGATTCACTGCAGATTCCTGAGGGCGTGGCTGGCAACGGGAGCCTGTCTTTGAAGGCTGGGGTCTTTTTGAGAGTGCAGGACAGGACAAAAGGGAAATGTTCTGGGAGGATTAACATCTGCAGAGGGACAGCTGGGAGAAACCATCATCAGCGCCTGCATGGTTGGAGTTCAGGGAGACCTTTCCCTGTTTGCTCATTACATTCCAGCAGGAAGATTAGACATACACAGATGGCGGTTGTAGGCCCTTGGTTGACCTGTTTTCTGACCTATTTTGGACAATTTAAAGTTCCAACTTTCACTACAAGCCAAGCATCAGATCATTAGTTTACAAAATACAGATTGTCAGCCCCAGAAATCCTAATTCAGGAAGTCTGGGGAGGAGTCCAAGAGGGTGACTCCTTAAATTTCCCCTGGTGGTTTTATGCTCCTCTGCCATGGACAGGGCCCATCCTTTTGCAGGAGACATTCAGTGACTTGTTTTGAAATGCTCAGTAATGGGGTTTCTGAGGGGAGTTGGTGGCATTCTTTCTTTTCCCAAGAAAATTGCTCATGCAATCTCTTGCATGCTCATGAACATAAACAAATTAAAACCAGCTGCATTTAGTGCTAGGTAGCCTTGAGAGAAATGTGGTGAAGCACCACAGCTGAGAGACTGGAGATGATAGATCATCCCATCGATTTCCTCCACTGCTCTCAGCGTTATTGGCCTCTGAACCCTTCACATGCAAAAGCTTTTGTGTCCATCAGTATTTACTTTACTAGAAATTAAAACTATTATTAAAATTATTTTGTAATTCTAAAATAAAATTATATATGAAAAGGAATAACATTTTAATGAAAAAATATTTCAAACTAAAATATTAGTGAGAATGACATTGTTTTACAGTTTTGAAAACTTCAATGTCTGAGTTAAAAAGGCATTCATTTTGTTGCAGTATCACACATTATTATCCTCTGGAAAACTGCATAGTACACTCGTGAGAAAATTAGAGAAAAAGCAAATAATTTCTTAGTGTTATGAAAATGGTTTTGACCTTGTAGGCATCCCAACAGAGTCTTGGGGTCCCCTCAGAAATATTATCTCTTAAGGCCACCAGTGGGCCACCCACCATTCTCCAACAAACATATGCACCCACATGTGTTCCTGGGCGCTTGTCCACAAGCACTAGCTTCTCAGGGACCTACTTACCGTCTTGGCTCAAAAAAATAAAGTTAAATATCTGAGATCATTACAGTGTTTCATTCTCAAGAGCCTGATGAAGCAGACTTTAAATGAATGTAGAGAAGGCAGCTAAGTGTTTGTTGAATGAGCAAATGTTAAATGTTTGTGTTGTGTACCTTAATCAGCTAATAAGATTAGATATATTTTCAGCCAACCATTTAGAATCTGTGATTATAATCAAATAAATTAATATTTGGAAATTAATATTCCAATTAAGAACAGCATTAGATTGTGATTAGGATCATCAGCTCTGACTCAAAAAGATTAGTCTGAATTCCAGCCCCAAAATTTACAGGGATCATGGACAAGTGACTTCACTCCTCAAAGCCTCCACTTCCTCCATTGGGGAAAAAAAGGGCTTCACAATTTCTTATATACATTCCCAAAATTCAGACACTTGTGAGAATGGAAATTTTATTTATAACTCATTGAACAGCTAAGCCTGACCTGATTAATTTTGTAATAAAAGCTGACCTCTGACCTGAAGGGACATGAAGCTCTTTTTATTTGTTTTATTTGGTATAACAGTTTGTGTGGTTTGCTGCAGAGATTTAAAATGTTTGATTAGGAGTACTGTCCTAGATCTTGTTTGGTCTATGTATTGTGAATGTTTCATAGGAAATCATATGTCTACTGAATTTCATAACACACATGCCCAGAGTTGTGTGAGAGACTGAGGGTGGTATTATCCTTTCAGGGTTAGCTGGGCTCATGTATACAGGTGCTATCTGGAACACTGCCTCACACATACAACTATATTAGCTTTTGTTAAAGAAATAGGGTCTATTTCCAAATAAGCATAGGAACCACTGAATAGAAAAGAAATTACTTCATATTTTATGAACGCTTTCACATTACTGAAAGATGGATTTTTGTTTTCCCTCTTGATTTGCACAGTGGGGGAAAGTGGCAAGCTGCTCTTTTCCTTCCATGCGCTGGGGAAATAGTAACATTGGTGGAGGTGCATCTTTCTTGTTACGAGGCAGGTTTGGAAATTAAAGGCACTTACAGTTTCTCCTTCTGTCCATTTTTTCTGAGCACCTACTGCTGGACATTAGGGGTACATTAAGAGACAAGCCCAAGTCTTTAAGTCACTCAGAATCTGGTGGGAGAGAAGTAGGTGGATCAGGGGTTGTGAGAAATATTCAGCTTCAACAGAATCAAACCAGTGATGCCCTGTAATTAGGGTTGCCAGATGAATTAATTTCAGCTTTAGGTAAACAATAAATAACTCTAGAATTATGTTTCAAATATTGTATGGAGCATACATAAATGCAATATGTGTCCCATGCAGTATTAGGGACATACTTAGAACTAAAAAAGTAGAAGTGTTGCTTATCTGAAATTGACATTTAACTGGGTGTTCCATATTTTCATTTGCTAAATTGGGCAACCTTAAATATAATCCTGGGCTATTTTCACCCATAGCAACAAGCTCTGAGGAGAAAATGTATGTTTCACTCATATTGCGTAATTGAGTTTTTTTTTAAAAAAAAGACTGTTTACAGAGGTATGGGTAGGTTAAGGGAAACCAGGCATGCCGAAGGGCCTCAGCCAGAAGCAGTGACACCCCCTGTGCTCTGTGGCCGTGGTGCAAGGAGAGAAAAGGAGAGAGCTGCTGGCAGGAGCTGTGGCCTTCCCAGAGAGAGATGTGTTCCACCAGCAGAGACCTATCCTGAAGGAAATTGGTAAAAACAAAACTGGACTCTGCTCCCTTCCAACTATACCCTGCTTCTCCCTGCAGTTTCCAGGGGCTGCGCCTCCCCTTCTAGACGGAAGAGCTAAGGGCCAGCCTGGCCACTCTCCATCCAGGAGGCTGGTGGAGGGCCCCAGGGGGTGGGGCATGGTCAGGTGAGTGAGAAATAGGCAGCACAGTTCTGACGTGTACATGTTAAGATGGCCTTGCAGAACACGTCCTCTTGTCAGAGTAGTTAATGGCCAGGTGGAGGGAAGGGGGAGAGGGAGAGAAGGCAGGCGTGAAAAGGAAGAAAAGCTCGACAGTCTGAAATTTACAGGTGAAGAGAAAAGTAAATCAGCACTACCAGGGATTTAAGTCTAAGGTGATTTCACTTCTACCAGACAGAATTTTTTCCCTCCAGAACAGTGGTCGGCAAACTCATTAATCAACAGAGCCAGATATCAACAGTACAATGATTGAAATTTCTTTTGAGAGCCAAAATTTTTAAACATAAACTTCTAATGCCACTTCTTCAAAATAGACTCGCCCAGGCCGTGGTATTTTGTGAAAGAGCCACACTCAAGGAGCCTAAGAGCCACATGTGGCTTGTGAGCTGCAGTTTGCCGACCACGGCTCTAGAAGAACCACCACAATTTCTTGTATCAACTTAATGGGCAGAACCAGGGCACATGGGCCCTCATCTGTGCCTGCACTAGCGCGGCCCTGGAAGTGAGCACCTCCTCAGAGTTTGCGCCCTGGGTGCCCAGCCCAGCCCAGCCAGCGCTGAGAGTAGTGGACCTTCCTCCTCCACCCAGTGGGAGGCTCAGTCCTGAGAGTCCGGACCTAGGGCCTTCTCTGCCTCCGCGCATCCCTGCTGTTCATGCTGGGCAGGCAGGGCCTATGGTGCCTGAACAGATCCCCGACCAAAAGCTTGCATTTTCACCAATGAAAATGGCTTCTAATCTGGTGATTCTAAAATAGGCCAGCTGATGAAGGGAGAGATAAGAAGGACATTTGAGCCACCGGCTCACTGCTGCAGTATGGGCTCCCTCATCAGGATTCTTCAAGTAATTGCCAAGTAACCACGTGGAGAGGGCTTTTAAGTGGATTGGGCACTTCAGATGGTCACTAGATGGATGCCAGGATGTAGGAGAAAATCAGTGAACACACTTTGGCCTGGCACCTTTGTCCTGGAGTAGTTGAAGACGGTCTGGCCCTGGGAGTCATTCTCTGTGTCCTGATGGGCACCCGGGGCTGACTCCCTCTTTCTCCTGTCACATTGCAGTTTCCCAGGCAAGGCTTGCAGCAGACACAGCAGCAGCAGCAGACGGCTGCCCTGGTGCGGCAGCTCCAGAAGCAGCTCTCCAGTAAGTACCCCTCTGGCCGGGACAGATGATTCCTGGGAAATTGAAAACAGGCACACAACAAAACACAGGCTGGCTCCTCAAAAACTGCAGTCTTCCTTGATACCATTTCATCTTTGTTTAGTCTACAGTGTTAAGGTGGTTTCTTTTTATTTGTTTTGGTTTGAATGCTACTTTTCCTAGAAAAACCCCAATCTTTTTTGTTTTTTGTTTTTGTTTTTGTTTTTTTAGTTCAGTGAAAATGTTTTCCCGTTGCTTTCAGTTGAACCTGGAAATATTTCTTTTCATTTGGGGACTGCTATGGAGCTGCAGGTGCCCTTTTTATAAAGTTGGAAGGTTTAAAGAGCAACTCAGTGGATGCAAGTGTACTGATAGAGGAAGTTTTAGACAGAGGGAGGCCAGCATTAGACCTATCTCCTGGTCACAGGGCGGTGGCTGTTTTCACCACTGCACCATCCTACCTTCCTCACAACTCAGACATATCAGATTTGTACCACCACCACAGGCAGTGAGCCTCAGCAGTTCTTCCTGGTGGTCCCGCCTGCTGTGTGGGCTGCTGTTTTTAATGGTGCTGCCTCTAGAGTGTAACCACTCACCCCCTCAGCTCCTTCGTGTGGATGCCAGCGGGGAGCTCCCATGATTCTATCTCCCTGTGTTGGCGGCAAGTGCAGGAAATTCATTAGCAACGGGAGCCAGCCCTCTGGTGCAGAGTATTGGCTGGAAGTCAGGGGACCTAAATCTGGTGCCAACTCTACCATTGTTATCTGGATCATGCGGTTTCTCACCCATGGGTGAGGAGAGGAGCAGGTTCTCCTGGTCCTTCCCGGGTTACGTGCTTCTGGGCTGCCGAGTTGAGCAGCCCTGCGACAAGGAGGTGCTGCGAGGAAGAGGCCAGTTTCCCACTGCAGGCGGGCAGCTTGTTTCATCTGGCTTTCCGGCCTGGCAGCTGAGCCCTGCAGGGGAGTATCCCTCCTGACCTGGTGTCTTTCCCAGGACGTAAGCAGGACCTTTTTTCCCCCTTTAAAAACATTTTCCTCTTACAGCCTCATTTAGTTTCAGTTGAATTGTGTAAGTCAACCCTCTTTTCCAGCTGCTACTTAATGGTGGGGTCTACACAACAAACATGTGGTTAAAATATTGTTGCTCTGTTAATTCTGGAGGTCATATTTTTCATTGCTAAACAGACAGCATCATTTTAAGGATAAGACCAATGTGTTTGTTTTAGATTTTTCCAATGTTTAGAAATATGTACCAGTGATTTTCATATGTAATGCCTATTTAGGGAGCATATCTCCTCTTATTTCCAGTTTTCCAGAGCTCATGCAATGCAGCTTTAAAAAAAAAATTATTTTATTTTTTCCACCACCATGTATCCCATCTGCCCTCACCTCTGACCAGCCATCCTTTATGGAGCACTTTCTTGGACCCAGGCACACTGTGACTTCACTTGTATCCAATCACTTAATTCCTAAACCACCCCATGAAGTTAGATACTGTCACTGTTCCAGTTATAGACGAGAAAACAGCTAAAGGATAAGGTCATGACTGGTCTGCCCAACATTCTTCAGCTAACGGTAAGGGACAAGCTGGGGCAGAGCTCATACACCGCATCACCACACAGGCCTACCCCGTTCCCGTGCATTGAGCTTTACTGAGCTTCACAGGTTGACAAACTGGAGGCAAGAGCCACCACTGAAAAAGGTTATGACTCGCTTTATTGCTTGGTGAGTGCACACTCTGCCACCTCCTTGGTTGAATAATGACAACTAAGCTGAGCTGCACCTGCACCCTCCAGAGGGTTCTTTTCCTATCACACCTGGAGAACAGGCCTCTGTATTGAACAGTCCCACAAGAGTTGTGCAAGCAGCAGCTGTTTTCATCCTGTTTCTTTCTTTGTACCTACTATTTTTCAAGCTACTTTTCTCATCTCATAATGTGCATGTTAAAGCAGAACTATTGGTGTGTTTTTATAAAAATTGTAAGCACTTTCAATGTTTTGTGATACTTAGAGTCCTTTCGTAAGTTAGTATTGAGTTGTTTCTCTGTTCAGAGATAGAGACCAATACCCTCGTCTGAGCCTTGTGCTGGCAGGTGGGACTCAGGTGAGCTGGGCCCGCTGAGGAATGAATTCAGCTGCAATGCTTATACTCTGCCACTGGAGGGCTCCAGGCCAGCGCTGTGCTCCTGGCCAATCAGTCAGGCTGCTATTGAGAAGTGACAAGGGGGTGGCATCTATCTGTGGCATAATTTTGCATCTACAATTTTAATTGTATTCTTTTTCTCCTTAGGTAACCAGCCACAGCAAGGAGTGACTCCCTATGGACACCCTTCACACTTCTGAATCTGGAAGAGGACAAGACATGAAGTTTTATGTTTGCACTGAAAAACAGAAATCAGATTTAATGCATTCGTCATCTTTAGAAATGTCCCTTCGTTATTTCAATTATTTGAAGTTTTGTTTATGTTTTATGCTACACTTGTACAAAGGTGTTTAAATGTTTAAACAAAAAGCAAAGGAGGAGGCGTGGTTTTGTTTTATTGCTTTCAGCTTTAAAATAGGTTTTAAAATGTGGATCATGCAGGCCTACTCCAGAGAGAGTTTGGTAGCAGACTTTTTAATATTGGTGCTTTTTTGAATCTCATAGAAAGAATGAATTATGGTAAATATAATATATTTATATATTCATTAATGATGTTTTTTTTCTTTTCAAACTGTGCTGGACCAAACTACTGATTTGAAAGTCATGTCAGTTCTTGACAGAAAAGTGACCCATTTATTCTGCATTCACCTTTGATGGTGAAATGGACATTTATTCGCATCACTCTAGTTTGAAATGTTTGTAACTTCATAAGCACTTTATAAACCTTGTTCTTATTTATATAGGGTTTTCTTTGCTTTTGTTGTGGTCAAAAGGTGCTGAAACAGATTGTTGCTTAGTACTTAAACTTCTTAGACCAAGAACTTAACCCGGGGCTTCTGTGAGCGATGCCCTAAGGAGGTGGAAGCCTGCTGGAAGTAGCTGTATTCAAATTTGTTTTCAGTAACAAGGCCGTTGACGAGAGTCTGTGAAGATACAACATGGAAATACTAAAGGCCCCAACAAACCATGGTGGAATTGTCCAATTTATTGCTAGATTTGGCAAAAATGACTGTGTCCAGTTTTAGTTCTCCTGAATCTTATGCCAACTGGAGAAAAAGAATCTTACAGCTGGTATGAGATTCCACAGTGCTCAAATTTAGCATGGTTTCTAGAGAATTTGGCCCCCAGTCCAGAAAGCTCTGGTTTTCATAAAAGATGTATTTGCTGTTTATTTTATAGGTATTTGCTATTTTGAATTTAATTATTAATGTTGGTTTCTAAATTGGTTGTGTATTGCATATTCTGTATTTATAAATTGGTGCAAAAAGCACAAGTAAAGTAAATTATACATCAAATTTATTATAAAGAAATAGTAACTATTTTAACTTTGTTCAAGTATGTAGTAATTTGCTCCTATTAGAGTAAAAAAAATATAGTAAAGTATCAGTTTGTGTAATTTAAGAGTATTCCATATAATATTTTTTTAGATTTAGATGCATAAAATTTTGAATGTGAAAATTGCAGGGCATTTAAAAACATATGAGGGATATTTTCCCATGTTCTGCGTTAATTCATTTTCTTTTGCCATATGATTTCACATGTCATGTAGTTGCACATACTGTGAATAGATTTGTCTATAATGAGCAAACCATGTAGAACTACTTCTTTTGAATGTAACTAGTACAACTTTAGTAGATCACTTCCTTTGCAAAGCATTATATAAATAATTTATACCTTCCTAGGTGAGTTACTCATTGCAAAGTTTGACTCATGCAAATGACCTCAAATGTATGTCCGCTTACTTTGCTGTGGCAGCATCCCTGTGAACTGCTTTGTACACTGTGAAACCAGTTTACTCCAGCCTGCTCATTTCATGTTTACTCTGGGCTGGAAAAGACTTTGCCAAAACATGAAGGACCATTCTTTTTCACTAGATTAACATATTCAACCTGCTTTATATCAGGCTGCTTTCCCCCCTCAAGAATCATCTTTCGAGTCCATGATATTATTTTTCTTCAAGTAGCATATCCATATAATGACTGCCTTGGCTAGACAGCCGAACATGAATGCCGTGCCAGGAAAGAGTCATTTTCCGCCCTGATTGCCATTTTCTTTCCTCTTGAAAATTATTGGCATTTAAAATCTCAGTTTTCTGTTGGAACCATATATTTTTGTAGCTCAGTATTGCAAACAGCAGTAATACTATTTCAAGAATGAGTGTTATAACTGCATAGCATTTGTATGCACTTTATATTTTGCAGAACGTACTGAAATTAATTTATTAATCATTTGCACTTGAAGGCTGTGGATGTACATTTTTGTTGTGTGTCCTTTTTAGGTGGGGAAGCTAAGTCATGATAAGGCTTCCAAGATTCTATGGAAAGTTGAGGAAAAAACTAAAGCTGGTTTCTCCCTATGCATAATAAAATGGCAACTGGAAACTTTAATCTAGTCTCATCATAGTAACTCCCACTTAACCTTCTATCCTGAGAGGTTTTTTTTCTTTTTTTTTTTCTTTTTTTTTTTTTAGCAAATGCATTAGTTTGCATTAAATGATCACAAGGGAAAGTCCTGTCCTTTGACAGAAGCTAGTAATTTGTTTCATAAAATAGAAGAAACTATCTTAGGATAAATGGAAACCCCCACCCTGTTAAATATAAGACCTTGAAATAGAATGGAGTTGGACATAAGAAGCCCTTAGACATACCGTTTACACTGTAGGCTTGTTCCTAATAGAGTTGCATTTGTCATGTGACTTACTCCTCTTGGCCCAGAAGTAGGTCACTGATAGAATTAATATCCTATGACTTATTTCAGCCGTGGGATCCCAACCTCAGAGATAACAGCAGTTGCCTCTTAGGTGGGGCCAGCTGAAAGTTGGTGTGGTGAAAACACAATGAAGTGAGCTCCTCCATATATCTCACATGATTGGTGGGGGCTGACATAGATCTCAGTTTGTGTACTGAGATATCTGAGCAAGACCTATGGCATTTTCTTTTTTTATCTTATTAAGGCTCCTAAAATTCTTCTTAAATAATAGGCAAATATTTGAATAGATGCTGGAGAAATTACATTGGAAAATCCCAGCCTCTATAATTAGAAAAGATGAATCATATTGTTCCCCCAAATTAATTCAGGTTGAATTAAGCAAGTAATATAAATAAATTGAGTAAATTACAAAAGGCACATTTTGGGTACAGTTGAAGAAATTTTAAGTACAGTGAAACTTCATTATATGATTAGATCTAGAGCTTTCCTAAACACTTACCTGTTGCATAAAGGATTCCCATTTAATAAAATTCAATGCTCATAAAGCATTGGTTCCTTCTCAGAAAATTTCCTTGTGACAGCTCCAAACCAGGATACCTAAGCTGGATTTCGAAGCTATAAAGAAGTTTCGTTGTATTTTTAAAACATTTTAAGTGGATTTATTTAGACAAGGATGTAATCAACCCCTTTTGACATTTTTGATGTACAGGTGTTGAGTTGCTTTTCACATGTTGGAAAAGTTAGCCTGCATTTCTTTTTAAATTCAGTCATTAAAGCATCCTTGTATTCCCCATCTATGAAAAGCTTCAGTGCACAAGATAATAAGTCATCATCAAAACAGTTAAATGCTTATTTTATGTAGGCTTTAGTAAAATATTTATAAACCAACCACAAAATATTTATACATCAAAATGGCAAATTTACATCAAGATAAAAAATTTAATCTTTTCCATTGTCTGTTGTCAGTGCCATGCCTGTAACGTTGACAGAAGGTGGACACTAGGGAACTGGTAATTTTTTTAAAAAAGTCAATTTAATGAAGAATTCAGGTACATTAACCATTTGTTGTTTTATAGTGGATAGTTTTCTCTTAATGTTCATTGTTATTTGTTGGCAAAATAAAAGTGCCTTAAGTTAAAAATTTGTTTTGAGATCCATTAAAGAAATCAGTTCATAATGCATATATTTACAAGTCTTTTTTTGCATGTCCATGATAAATTTAACATTGTAAATGTATTTAAATTCATTTACATGCCTATGGCTGCCTTTGATTAAACTTCTTCCAAAAAAGTAAACTGTCCAGATGTTGACTATTCAAGAAATGTTATTTTATGTCAGATCACTTGCACATAAGTTGTTGCAAAATCACTACCAAGTGTGTTCTTTGCTGTGCACTTATATATCCCGGAATCTGATCTTTGAGGGTTCTGAATGAATAGGGTGCCTTGTGGGTGGAAAAGCTCGGTCCCATGTGACCTCCCTTTATTTCCCATTGATATCAGGGAGTGGTCAGGCGTCTCCCAGGTGATTTCCGGCTTGGGCACTCCCAGGGCTACACAGTGGAGCTGAATGGCTGCCCCTGTGCTTGCGAACATGCTCCTTGGTGGGCGATTTGTAATTCGGGGAGGGTAGGCTACAACCAATACTGGAACAGTAACCAGTGCGTAGCCAACACTGTTTTGAGCCTTGCAGATATAGTTTCCTCTGTCATGAGCTGTTGCTTCTTTGATGACTAGTGTGCCATTTTCATGCAATATGTATTTTCTACTAATTTGAGGCCTGTCTATTACATGACCACTTGGTACAGTCCACTTGATATCTGGCTTAGGGCTTCCATCTGACACACAGTGCAATGAGAGAGAGTCCCCATTGATGCCATAAACTGTTCCCAACGCATTGGTAAGAATAACTGGCTTCTGGCCAATTTCTAATACAATTAATTTCTCAATATAGCCAACTTTGTTTCTTGCCCCGCACCGGTATTTTCCTGCATCATCCCGAGTTGTTTTATAAATCACAAAAGAACCATTGCTTGCTATCTGATACTGAGGACTTTGTGATCCCCTGGAAAATAGTGTGCCGTTCGGTAAAACCCAGATTATTTCAGGTAGTGGGTTTCCATCAACAGAGCAGTTCAATGCTGTGGGCTTTCCAACCTGGGCAAATATTTTTTCATTAAATGGATTTCTGAATGTTGGTCTTCTCAGCATTTCCAGTACTTCCAGCTGTATTACCAGCACACTCTTTCCTCCTTCATTCTGAGCCACACAGGTAAACTCAGCTGAATCTGAATGCCTCACATTTCTAATCTCCAAGGTTCCATTTTTATGGACCGTGACTCTGCTTCCATGGTATGGGGCGGTGAGGAAGATGTTGTCTGGCATGATCCACATGACTTGGGGAGATGGTGTCCCTTCAGCTCTGCAATCAAAGTGCTTTTTGGAATGCCTCACGGCAGTGGTTTTGATGACAGTTTTGTTGGTATACAGAC